TATATATATATATATGTTAATATTATATTATATATATATATTTTTTTATTATTATATATTTTATATTGTATGCTATTATATATATAACATATAATATATTATACATATATTTATATATGTTATATTACACATGTATTATAATACTATTATATACTATATATATTACTATTATATATTCTATTAAATACTATAATTTCTAATATATTTTTTCTAATATACTTTATTACTAGTATAATATTAATAATAGAATATAGTGTATGTGAATAGGGTATATAATAATAGTATAGCAATAGAATAATATATTCTATTATGCGAATTGTTATAAACTTTCGCGTTGAAACGCCGATATGCTTTAAAACTTATTTATTTACCTATTTCTTACTATTACTATTTACATTTCTTTTATCAATTTATTTATTTATTTATTTTTTCATCCGTCGCCTCTTATTCAATTTATTTATTTGCATTACATTTCATTGTATCTACCTGCGACTCCATTATTTCATCTGTTTGATCCCATTATTATATCCGTCTGTGACTGGTTTCGTTTTACTTCGTTCCATTTATCCAATCCATTTTCATTTATTTCTCTACCTATTGTTTATCTATTTCTGTGTTTCTATTTATCTTACCGCGTCACTGTTGTTTGCCCTCCAGTTCGTTTATTTTTCTTTCGCAGGAAGAAACAATTCATTCGTAATGCTTGCCCGTTTCGTCGTCCGACGCGATTTCGCGCGTTAACACGTTCCGTGGCAAGCCATTTTTGCCTTTTGTTGTCGTTCAGGTCATTTGATATTTTGACTAAAATTCAATGATGAACATTCAATGTTCTAACTATCTAACTATCTGAGTGTCTGTCTGTCTTTTTTATCTATTTTACAACTCTTATTTATACTTTCGTTAATTTGTTAAGTATCCTTGACAATTATTTACAAACGTCTCCATAGTAATTATGTTAAAATATTGATTTTGGACGTAGCTTCTTACTTTAGAGTTTAACAAAGTTGCCGCCGTAAATTTATTTCAAATGGACTCTTCGACAAGATGGTTGAAAAACAGATGTCGCTGCATTACCCCCTTTCAAGTCACTCGACATGTTAGAAAGAGTAGACGGTACTTGTAATCGCGAGTAAGTTCGTGGTTTATTATTTTCTGTATCTTCTATATAAATGCTGGTTATAAATATAGTAGTTTCTTTTCCTTTATAATCAATTAGAAATACGTTGTCCGAAATACGTTTAATTACACGAAATGGACCTTCATATGGCTGTTCCAGAGGTTTTTTTTAAATGATCTACTCTAACATGTCTCCCGCGAAAGCCACTATAGCGGCGCATAGTGCCTAAAAGGTTAATGGTGTGTAATCTTTAAGACAGACATTTATATTTCTCTTCGTTGTTAAGAACTCCTCGTAGTCTATGCTTCTCTGTGGCTGATCAAACATTTTCAATCGACTTGGCCAATCCAACAATACTGATACTGTTTTTCCCTTCTCCGCTGCGTGCAAACGCGGCTTCGATGCTCGGGATTGTTATCTTCTCGAAGCATGCAAGACTGATTCTCTTCGTTGAACCCTTTAAAAGTCCTCTTTCACACGATTTGAGCGTCTAGGGTTGTAAGGTGACAGTTGAATTTCATTTGGTAGATAGGCTCGTTCGACAGATCGCTCCAATCACGACTGATGTTTCTTCGATATGCTTTCTTGAAAGTAACTGTTATCTCAACAGTTAGGGATTGGACACACTATCAATTGATTTTCAATCTGTTTCAATTCACTTTCGATCTGTGCGAGAATTTCTCGCGACAAGAATATTCCTTTACACTGTGTAAACATTGGCAATCATCCTGCGTCTAATCAGCTTTCTGACACGCGTCGTCAAGCAAGACTTTAACTTAAACTTTTTGAGCGAATAATTGAAATGACGACCGGTATGAGAAGACGACAGATATATTCTACAGGCTTCTAGTCGTCGATTCGTCGTTAATTCAAGCGGCCCGGTAACTGTTGTTTCAAATTGCACGAGCCGCGTACACCAG